ATGAAGAGAAAATAAGCCAGATTCTAAAATCATTTCTGCTGCTCTTCGGTTTTCATCTGTCACCCTCTATAGCTGAGGACAGCTCGTGGCTGTGAATGCTTGTGCAGCACAATTGCAGACCTTGAGTGTGTAATACTTCTTTGTTTTTCTATGATTTGGTAGGTTGAGAAGACTCAAGCGCCGACTGTATTTTAGGAGCTATACCGCTTTGTTCCACCGTCTACGAGTGAGGGAGGCAGGTGTCGGCGGATGAAATAAGTTGAGCGGTGCAGCTCGGTCGCGTTTTCTTTTCTCTCTTTTTTCTATTAGACCCGTTGTCCGAGACAGCCGTTTATTTTAAGCTTTCATTTCGACGCGTCACATTTGAGCGTTCGTTATAGGCTTCCATTACTGCGCTCGAACCAAAATTCCGCCGTTTTGTAATAAAATTATCTGGCGTTTTACGTCTCAAAACCTCGATATGACCATGAAAGACGCCGTATAGTGGAGGGCTCCAAAAATTTCGACCATCTGATGTTCTTTAACGTGCACTAACATGACACAGTACACAGGTCTATATCACTTCGCGTCCACGCAAATGCTACCGCTACGGCCGCGGGATCGTACCATGGGGTCAGCAGCCGAGAGCCTTAGCCAATGATCCACCGTGGTGGAGCGATTCCGCTGTTATATATATTGTCCGTTGATATATATATATATATATATATATATATATATATATATATATATATATATATATATATATATATATATATATATATATATATATATATATATATATATATATATATATATATATATATATATATATATATATATACTGCACTGTATACTGGATAGTTCGGTGAATCCCGATTAGAATAAACAAGCGGTCATGTTCACCATTCCCGATTTTGATAAAATTTACTTTAGGCGCAGGCTTTGGAACAAGAACGATATCTTGTTATAAAGCTAGGTTTGTAAAAAATATGTTTGCATAAAAAGAATACAAATTTTGGCCGCACCAAAAACGGCACATTTCCTGGTCACAGCATTTTTTTTTTCAAACGAACAGTAAAGTGAAAGACAACCTTTTCATTCATTTCATACTGACGCGGAAGGAACTTCGAAAAAAATGAAGTCGCAAACATGATAAACGGTTCAAGGTAACAGTAATTAAGGAATCGCTTTAGACAGGCCAACTGACGGTAGTAAGGCTCAGTGAATGTTGAGATCGGTATTCACTCTGTCTTTTGCGATAGTTTTCGTTACTTTACCACGCGCCGGTATACTTTAAAATTGTGCTGAAACTTAGAAGTGTGGTAGCTTCGGCTCTTTGTCGTCGTTCTGTTCTCGCGCTATAACTATCGTCATGTGTTGAAACGTATGTGGTTTACCAAGAACACCAATCTTTCAAAATAGTTTTAAAAGCAACTTTTCAATTTTTTAGCAAAATTTTAATAATTAAAGTGGGAGGCATTATCTAGTCAACAATTAGGCGTAAAGATCGACGCAGTAATTCAGCTTGTAACAAGTTACAATGCGTCGAAAAAAAAAAGGCCAACTTCACCTTGCAGCAGTGCCATTGATTTCGTGCTACAAATCACATGCAGGTTGTTTAGATGCAATTATACGCGACAGCATCAGAAAAAATGTGTTAAGAAAAAAAACAATCTTTATGCTCAGATTGAGGAGCTACTAAGGGGGGGTTGGGTCGGACTAAGTAAAGCCAAGTGTGACAAGAGTATAACTGACGTCGGCTTCGCGTCGGCCATCCCCTCGATTGCCAACGATAGATCATTTACTGTTGCCAATCTGTCCAGAGACCTTGTACGGCTCTCGACGCATCTTCGAATGGCTGCAATATCCGCTCGACAGTCGGCAGAATGTATTTCATGATACCACAACTTGATTACGTGTAGATGGCCGTCATGTTTACAGCTGACAGTGAAATATATTTTCCGCGTCTGACGGGCACTAAATGCGCGTTCCCGCTAAGTATGTCATTCATCGTTGACCAATTGTAGTGCAGAGTGACAAATTCCGTAAAAAACTTCCTTGCGTATGAGAATCACAGCAGTATATATAGGCTAACCCTGCAATAATTGTCTTCCGGCACGTTGCTGATCGCCGACCAGTCCCCGTGGTGTAAGCAAGCAGTTGCCGACGACACCACCGTTTGCCACCCTGTCTGAGTTGGTAAATAGCTATGTTGTGCTTAGTTACATAGGCATCACTTGCGGGGGCAGGTTATACCCTTTTTAAATTAAGGTCCCTCACGTTACTTGAAATACATCCCCCCCCCCCCCCCCGGTCCGCGCACCTAAGCAGACTTAGGTCATAACTGAATGCAGGAACAGCGCAACCTAGAAGTAGTTACTTCGTAACTACGGAAGCGAAAAAAACAAGGACAGAAAAGAGCACTGACTTCTACTACTTCTAGGTTGCGCTGTTACTGTATTCAGTTATGTCCTACCAACTTGCCCAAGTTTCCACGCTTCAAGACTTAAGTCAGGATGGATTTTTTTTCTTCTTGACATCTGTAGTAGTGTAATGCTGGTGCTACAAACCTTGCACAAACATACTTCCAAATCTTCAATGACGGATTTACCTTGTGTACCGCACTTTAGCAAATATTCAGCTTGATTCCCATCCTCTTGCGTTATTCGAAGGTTACAGATTCGGTTCCTGCTCACGGTATCTTTTCACCCACTTTTCTTTCTCAACATTTACATTACAATTGGGTCTAATAACTTCCCCTATACATTCCTTGGCATTATGGTCTGTTAGATCTCATTATATATATATATATATATATATATATATATATATATATATATATATATATATATATATATTCAACGCGGTGGTAGGGTAGAGCCTCACAACCACAAGCGAACAGATGCTGACATTCGAGGCTCTGCCCTTTCACTGCGCTCAATCTAGCGTAAACCTTGCGCCTAGCGGGATCAAGGCGGCACGTGTAACATGCATGGGTGCAAGTTATTTGCATATTTCAAAGGTACCGGCGGTATTATGTCGTATTACTTTGTCCACGGCAACTAGCATCCTCGTTTCCCTGCACAGTTTACACCTCGCTAACTTTTCTTCGGGAGACGTCCTGTACGTATGTCTGCAGAGCACCTCGTTAAATCGCTCCCACAGCGGCCAGTGGCATTAGTAATTATTGGAAGCCTTCCCCGTGTCACGAATCGAATCACGGAGAGCGTGGCGCATCACTCTGAGAAGCGAATTAACTTTCAGCCTCGTCTATTTCAGTTCCGGATGAAACGAAGATCAAAAAGAGGGGAGCAAAAGAGAAAGAGCGCTCTTCGTACCGGGCCCGTTTCGAGTCACGCGCGCTACTCCGAATCCGGCTTACCGTACATCACCGCTCACAACACGCGCGCTTCACGGCATCGTGTTTCAAGCGAGCGAGCGCGAACCGCGACGCCCCGAAGTTCAACAAGTATCCGGCGCGACGAATCCCGACGTCGCCCTGGAGCGCACGCCGCAACAGCTCCGGTACGGCCTTCTCCGGTGATTACACCCGATCGGGTTTCTTTTTTGTAATAACCTCATCAGCGGCGCTCGCCTTTAACGACCACAATCCGAAAAATAAACGTGACTCCCCGCGGCTAACGCAATGAGGGAGCAGGGCAAAGCCAAGGGCTCTCCTCGCTATCCGCGACAAGAAACTCGATGGAAGAGGTTCACCCCCTCACACCTCAACCTTCCTCGACGCGCACGGTTGTAGTACTACACGCGTGGCTTCAAAAGAGTAAAACCCGCAAAGACTCACGCAGAAACGTGACTGGGTGGCGGCGGGTTATAATTGGAGAACGTGCGAGAGAAGAGGATGGGGAAAAGAAATCGCGAGATGTGTTTATGGTGGACGGGTGTATGGCGAGATATGAAAGACGAATCGAGGGGTAACGATGGCAAGGCGGTAGACAATAAAGAATAAAAGACAGCGCTCACGTCTGTTAAAAAAAATGCAAAGGAAATTGCCTAGCGGAGAAAACGTTTATCGGAAAAGCGGTCATTAAAATAGAATAAAGGGCTCAGCGGAGGCGAATAGATTTCGCCTTTATTAAAGAAACAGGCAGCTCGTGAGGGAACAGGCGGTTTGGGGAGAGTGACGACGAGTTGCCGAGAGAAAAAAAAAGGAGGAGAGTTAGAAAGGGGTATTTATTTTACTTTTTAGGAGGGGAGAGACTTTCGCGCGAGGAGGAGGGAGCAATCATCCAGTTAATTATCCAAATCCTGTTCTTTGCAGCAGCGGGATCAATAAGAGCTCGGCGGAGGCGGCCCTAATCGAATGCGTTTTGCGAGAACGCGTCCACTCACCCTTCGCGGCCGACTGTTCTGATCTCCTCCTCTCCTTTCCTAGCCTCGTTGCCAACGGCTATGACGTCATGGCGTCTGACCATATCGCGGCTGCGCGTTAGCATGCTTCGCATTTCCCATAGTACGCTCAAACTCCACGAGCAACACCTCCTTTCTTTTCCACCTCTTTCCCACAGCCCTCCCTACAACGTTTCTTTCCATCAACCCATGCCGGCAGGATGTGAAAGCGAGTGTCTTTGTGTCGCCATCTATGAGCAAAAAAACAAAACACAATAGTTGAGATTTATAGATGGCGCTATCTGCCAAATTAGAAAGCACGCCTGTATGATAAGTTATAAGTGTATATTAATTATGTAACGTAAAAATTAAACCAGCAAGTACTACAATATAAAATACTTGTAGTTTACATAGTGTAATTTTTAAAATATACTTCTCGGGACCCTAGTTATTACTTATTATTGACTAGTGCGTTCTTTCAATTACATCTATTATTTAAAGAAAATATTTCACAAGCATTTAAACAATTGCGTAATCTGTTTTCTATAATTTTTATAGACATAATACACAGAATGTATATAAACTCTAAGATTCACCTTGCTCTCTAAAAAACTTCAAACCTTTTAACACTAGTGGTTAAACTTGACTTAATCTTTCGGCAGTGCTAACAACGCTGTGCATAACAAACTCTATTGCTAGTACACTGTACTGCTAAGAATATACAAGTTTCGTGTCGAAGCCGAAATATTTCTAAGTTGCAGCTTAGCAGGCTTACGAATTGAGGTTTGTTGGGCTAGATCAGTCATAATGATTGAAATTACGTGCAACGACCGACTGGGGAAAAAGGTCCGGGTAAAGTGCAAGTATCCTTTTTGCGCTTGAGTATCTAACTGCGAGCGCACAGAGGCTATTATATTTTTTGTGTATGTTTAGTGTCGCGAAATTTGCTAATGCATGCACATAACGAAATAATAAACAATTACCTCCTTGACAAAATGCTGTAGCGACGACGACACTATTGGCGATCTGAAGAAACTCATAGCCGCGCAGACGGGAACGCGATGGGACAAAATTGTCTTGAAAAAATGGTAAATTCAGGTTTGTTGCTTTACAAAGGGTATCTGTTACACAAGGTTTTCGCTTTTGAACTGGCCGCTGGCATTATCTGTCACTAAGGTACATAATGCGTGATGCCTGTTAGCAGGCAGGATTCGTGCGATACAAACTCCAAATACAGGATTGATCCTCGTTAATGCTCGTTAATTCGAACTCAAAGGGGACTACATAATTGTTCGATTTACGTGAAGTTTGAATTAGTGAGCGAGCTCTGGAATTAACGGACGTCGTGCCACACTGCGCGAACAGAACGCAAAGTAGCCACCTCTGGACTCGTTATCGCGACATAGGCGCCACTTTGTTTGCGATAGATGATTTCGTGAGGTACGTTCACGGAGATTTAATAGCGGACATAATTAATCAGTCAATGATGCGCCAGAAAGAAGCACCAACATGCACTCACGTTAGCAGTAAGCGGTTAATGTCGTTATGTAGACAAACGTGTGGGCCACTCTTAATGCTCAAAAACACGTTTGTTTACATGGCAAAAGCAACGCAATCAGAATTGAAAGTAATCAGTAATTCGTCTTTGCTTGCGGTTCTGTCACGTCCCTATGAGCATCGTTTGCAGCTTGCCCAAGAGCTCCAGCGTAGCGTCCGAATTCCCATGTGCTGAAAAATGCTGCTGCTTTTTTGTTATGTTGCATATCTAGCAAATTTGGTTTGGTTTCGCAACACATTGTGATCACTCAAGGACGATTTCGGCAGCAGCAATGAAAACCAGGGGCTCCCAGTTCGAGTTAACTGTTGATACCAAATTACCAATATGTTCGAATTATCAGGAGTTTTCCCCCATAGAGATACAGGGCTGGGAACAAGGCTGCATTAATGGAGTTTAAATTAACGAGCTTTTACTATACTCGGCTATGAAACCAAAGTACCAGCTCACTTCACAGTAACACTTGTTTGGCTTCTTTGCACATTCATTACATCATATTAATATTCTGTGTGTGACTTATATGCCCAGAAAGTGGCTGATCAAGATTTGTAAGAGTATGTTGACTCGTTGCTTCTGGTTCTTCATAAGCACGCATGCTTCAATCGGATATGTGTTATTGAAGTGTTTCCTCAATTGAGTTGCTTATCAGTAGAGATTGGATTATAGCTCTAGGAATATTTATCATACCTAAAAGACTTGCCCTGTTCCTGCCGGAGCATGAATTAGAGGTCTAGCCTTGTTATGCCACCTATAAATGCCTATTTCACTATTCTGCGCCTCTGTATGCCTATAATGAAACTAAACAGTGTGTGTGTGTGTGTGTATATATATATATATATATATATATATATATATATATATATATGTATATTCAGTGTTCTGGTGTTGATGAAAGCAGTAGACGGTAGCTTAAAGATGAAACTTTAATCTTAAACTTATTCGAAACTTAGACAAAACTGTATTTGTGATAGTGGCGAATAGAGCATCAGCCGTTGATAATCTCATCATTGTTGAATTTGTAGTCTTTTATACAGTAGCTACGGAACCTTCCAATGTTATTGCTCGTGCTCACGCAAGCTGTCACGTAAACCTGACTATTCGCGTGCTGCACACATACCTTGACAAATTGTCTACAACAATTGCGAAGCTTCTCAAGTATTGTAACGTGGTCTGCACTGCGCGTTGCCCAATGTGTTTGCAGGCGAAACCCAAACAACATCAAAATAAGCACAAGTGGCAATATATATCTTTGCTTACCAGAATTGCTTCTTTCTCCAACACCAGGCAATATTACCTGATGCTGTTGCTAATGGTACGACACCTGTTTTCAAAGTTAGTCAAGCATTTGAGAGCGTTTTGCTGTCTGTATGACAATCTTTAACAGTGCCACATAAGATCATAAAAGCTGTGTTTCTTGTAGAGTTGATTCGCAACCTCATGCTACAGAGCAAGGTGAAATTTGAAGAAGTAGTGCTTGGTGGAAAATGTTTTAAAGAGACACTAAATATAAGCAATAACTTGCTTTAGGTGGACAAAAATGCAATCTGAGAACTCCATAAGTTTCACAATGGTAAGTTCATTAATTACAGAGAATATGAAGGTTGAAATGTCATTTTTAAATTTCACGCTGAAGTCTTCACGCGTTAGGTCAGAAATTTGAAAATGCATTTTCATGAGATTGGTTCAATTAAATTTTCTGAAACTTGGTATGCTGGGTGTATGGCACCCACAGATGACAATACACTTAATTTTATCGGTTAGAAGCTATGTAGGACGCAGTAGAGGCCTTCAATATCTTTGACTTCACAGTCTTTGGTGCGTGAATGTCAAGATGGCGTCTCCACCCGCATTTTCTTTTCATGCATTTTCTTGTGCTGTGTCGCAGTAGAAGTGGTGTGTTTAAGATTTTTAAATTGTACTTTACTTATACCCACAAGGTATAAAATTACAAGAAAGTGTAATGCCTGGATTACACGTGAGATAATTCATGTGAAACGTAAAATGAGTAGGCTGAGGAAGGCTAGGAGGCCTAGCTCACGACCCTACTACTCGGCTCAGATTGCCGATATATCAAAAACGCTGAAAAACAAAGTACGTTCTTCAAAAATTCACTTTTTTGGTACCACTATAGCAAAGTTCATCAAAACCTAACCTGCAAAGCTTTGGCGATATGTAAGCGGTAAACATAGCGGCCAAAACGCTTCTGCCTCGACAGACTAAAAAGATAAGGCAGACCAATTCGATCCTTACTTCCAGTCCGTCTTTACAATCGATAACAGGCTAGTGCAACATCTAAGGATTATGCCACGCACCGATAGCAAATTATCAGAAACTCCAGAAATACCTGAAAGTGGTATATTGTGTCTGCTGTTAAACCTTGATGATAAAAAGAGCAGTGGTCCAGATGGGATACCGTACGTCTTTCTCAAACGGTATGCTGAACCACTCAGTAAGTACCTGCGCTTAAAGGAGCACTGACATCAAATTTTAAGATTGAGATGTGCCCATCATTTGATTGCTTTGTATGCATGGGCTTTCTTGGCCCAATTTGAACAGCATCTGTCGTGTGGAAGTTATTTTAATTCTATGTCAAACAGCGTAGAAAAGCTGAGAAGAAAAAACAAAAAATAGACTGCCCTGCGACATCGACACTAGTGGTACGTGTTCAGTGTGATACATTCCACAAATACCATACTGAGTGACGATGCCCTAGTAGCGATGACGTGTACGATTTGAGTGTTCTTATCGTGGCGCTGACTGGCACCGAATCGCAGAAATGCACTTGCTCATCGCGTCTGATCTTCGTTGCACCGGTTTGAATGATTTTGTGAAATTATTAAGATAAAAACCACCTTTAGAAGAACGACGAAAGAAAAGAGCATGATTAAAAGTGTGCTTGTCGGTCAGTATGTCGGGGATTCATTGCGAGTTGCAGATGAGTTGCAGTCGTCTAGTTCAAAGCATGGAAAAAGCACAATGAGGGTGTCTTTTCATATCACGTATGTGCTACACATCAGCACGACCACAAGCTATCAAAAGTGGAACAGCGTATGGTCAGATATCATCGCTAACAAGTAACATGCAGGTATCGTTGAATTTCAGTTCATCTGTATACTTTGCGTCCACGTAAAAGTGGTAATACCGTGTTAACCGCGAGAGGCTGGATAGCTGGGGCCATCTGGAGGTGCAAAAAAACCTGGCAAGCAGGAACTTTATTCTATTTCTCCGCTGATGCTCATTCGTGATAGCTATATATTGCCACAAGGCAGTAGTGGGATTGGGGCATAAAGCGGTAGAGGGTCCCTGGCTAAAAGGGAAGACTACGAAGTGGATAGAGACTGGTTCCAGCCCGCCAGTGCGCCAGGCATTGCGATCGCGTGTAATCGTTGTAAATATCTGTAAATATACGTTTTCTTGTAAGATTATTGGTGGAGGTGCTGGGTACGCCTACCTGGCTTTTCCGGCAAACCAACACGGAACTTCGGAGTGGTCGCCACCTTCATTTTTCTGCAATGGCTCAACAGGCCCACCCACAAGAGCAACAGCAGCCGCAGCTGCAGCAGCAGCAGCAGCACCAGCACCAGCACCAGCAGCAGCAGCTGCCTCCTCTGATTCTCCTGCCTCCACGAGACCCCGGAACCTTCTCGGGCACAGGCAAGGACAAGGTGAATGTTGAAGATTGGGTCGCTTTGTACGAGCGCGTGAGCGAATACTATAGGTGGGACCCTACGTTGATGCTGGCCAACGTTGTATTTTACTTGCGGGATACGGCGCTCACCTGGTATGAGACGCATGAGTCGGAGTTGACCAGCTGGGACGTTTGCAAACTGAAGCTTCTCGAGTTATTCAGCAGGCCATTTGGGCGACAGCAGGCCGCGAGGAAAGACCTGGAATGTCACGTGCAGACATCGACAGAATCGTATGTATCTTACATACAGGACGTATTGGGCCTCTGTCGAAAGGTGGACGAGAACATGAGCGAAACTGACAAAATCGCTCACATATTGAAGAGAATTGCCGATGACGCGTTCAATCTGTTGATCGTTAAAGATTGCGCCACCGTCGACGCGGTTGTGAAGGAGTGTCAGCGCTTCGAGCACGCCAAGAACCGTCGCATAACCCGCCAGTTTGCGCGTCTGCCTAATACCGCTTTATGCCCCAATCCCACTACTGCCTTGTGGCACGGAATTGGTGCTGTTTTAGCTCAGCGTCAGCATGGACGTGACTGTGTCATCGCCTACGCCAGCCGCCTTTTAGCCCCTGCCGAGAGGAATTATTCAATCACCGAAAGAGAGTGTCTTGCTCTTGTTTGGGCTGTCGCTAAATTTCGCCCGTACCTCTTCGGCCGCAGTTTTACTGTTGTAACTGATCACCATGCACTCTGCTGGCTTTCCTCGCTAAAGGATCCCACGGGACGTCTCGGTCGTTGGTCTCTACGCCTCCAAGAATACACCTTCTCGGTCGTGTATAAATCTGGTCACCTCCATCAAGACGCCGACTGCCTGTCACGGTATCCAGTGGATCCACCAGACGCCACAGAGAGAGCTACGGAGGCTTGCGTCTTATCAATATCACACTTTCTTGATATCGCTTCTGCGCAACGCCGCGACCCGGATTTACTTCCCATCATAGAAAGCCTGAGTTCCGCTACTCCACCCACTTCTCTGAACTTGTATTTCCTTCGTGAAGGAGTTCTCTACCGCCACAACATGCGCCCTAACGGCCCTGACCGCCTTCTCGTCGTGCCTTCCCATTTGCGTGTAGATGTTCTCCGACAGCTTCACGATGAACCTGCCGCTGGTCACCTGGGAGTCACTCGCACTTATGATCGCGTCTGGCGCCGTTTTTTCTGGCCACGCCTATATCGCTCGGTGCAAAAGTATGTTACCAGCTGCGACCTTTGTCAACGTTGAAAACGACCAACATCGCTTTCAGCTGGCCTTCTTAACCCTATTGAGATCCCTGCTGAACCATTCTACCGCGTAGGGCTCGACCTTCTCGGGCCATTTCCCACTTCTGCATCCGGGAACAAATGGGTTGCCGTGGCGACCGACTACGCGACACGTTATGCGATCACCCGCGCTCTTCCAACCAGCTGCGCTACCGATGTCGCCGACTTTCTGCTACATGACATCATATTGCATCACGGCGCTCCTCGACAGCTCGTTACTGACCAAGGCCGATACTTTTTATCTCGCGTCGTCCAGGATATCGTACGTTCCTGTTCCACGAACCACAAGTTCACAACGGCATACCATCCACAAACTAATGGACTTACAGAGCGCCTGAATCGCACTATCACGGACATGTTGTCAATGTATGTTTCTCCAGACCACCGTGACTGGGACGCAACGTTACCCTACGTCACCTTCGCTTACAACTCCTCCAGACATGACACCGCAGGCTATTCCCCGTTCTACCTTCTTTATGGACGGGAACCCTCTCTGCCTCTTGATACACTCCTTCCCGCTGGTTCAAGCTCCCCTGTCACATACGTCCGCGATGCCATAGAGCGAGCCGACGCAGCACGACAGATTGCCCGAGAACGGCTCATGCTTTCTCAAGCCTCTCAGAAAGATCGATACGATCGTCACCACCGTGAAGTTTCGTATGCACCAGGTTCTCTCGTACTCTTGTGGACCCCATGTCGTCACATCGGCCTCTCCGAAAAACTTTTATTTCGCTATGACGGACCATACAAAGTCCTTCGCAAGATCAGCAACCTCACCTACGAGATACAGCAAGTCGTCGACGAAGCGCACTCAATGCCACCACCATCCACTGTTGTGCACGTCGTAAGACTGAAGCCTTATGTGTCACCCAACACTCCCCTTTCGTGACAAGCGCCGGGTCGGCGCTTTAACGCCGCGGGGTAGTGCCACAAGGCAGTAGTGGGATTGGGGCATAAAGCGGTAGAGGGTCCCTGGCTAAAAGGGAAGACTACGAAGTGGATAGAGACTGGTTCCAGCCCGCCAGTGCGCCAGGCATTGCGATCGCGTGTAATCGTTGTAAATATCTGTAAATATACGTTTTCTTGTAAGATTATCATTGACTCCTCTGCATATACCTGAATGCTTTGCATGCCAAAACACACCAATATAGCTAACTTACACACACGAGCGAACATGGCTGAAGCGTACAGCCTCGGGCACCTCTGCAGTGCTGCTTGCACCGATGTCCATTTCGGAATCGCTGTTCTGCAAACTGTCGATCGAAGAAAAATAATTGGCGATGTCGCGAATCGCCGGGATTCCAAGCTCCAGACTATCGTATTGAACCCGAGTGGACACTTTGTACGGCAACGACAGCAATGCAAGTGACAAAACATGACTGAATGTGTCCGCGTAGCAGTCGAAATGCTTGCGGAGCAGCTGAGCCTGACGTCACTCTTTTCTGTGGAGAAGTGGTCAGCTGTGGCGTGATCTGGAAGTGATCGTGAGGTAGTGCCACTGCTGATGCTCCCAGCGCCAAAAATGGCGGGATTGTTGGCCACTTTGAATAGTGATAAATACCAGTGATATAAATCAATAAAAGTAATAGTTATTCATCCCTCAGATGCGTCTTAGGTCGCGAATCGCTGCTATGGGGTCTATAGCTACTCGCTGACGCAAAAATCTTGGCATGAGTAAATTTGATGTCAGTGCTCCTTTAATATTTACTAAATCTATCCAAGATTCGCAGATTCCTACCGAGTGGAAACTTGCGAAAGTAATCCAGTGCAAAAATCTGGTGACAAATCAACTCCATCGAACTACAGACCCATTCCCTTAACTTGCACTAGCTGTAAGCTACTCGAGCATAGTATTCTCAAATCTGTTACAAAGTTTGTCGAAGACAATGGGCTGCTACACCATAACCTGAATGGTTTTCGGAGAGGCCTGTCAACCGTAACGCAACTTGCCGAAACAATCCATGATCTGGCCGAAGCCATCAATCAACACTCCCAAATCGATATCATATTTATGGATTTTTCAAAGGCATTTGCCCAGGTTTCGCATGAAAAGCTAGTTTACAAGCTAGTTTGCAAAGTCGGGAATGGGCCAGTGACCGGTTAGATATCAAACTACTTGTGTGGTCCCCAACAATTTGTGCAATGCAATGATCACGTCTCTGAAAGACTGAATGTTACGTTCGACGTGCCTCAGGGATCCATCTTGGCACCAATATAATTTCTTCTATTTATAAATGACCTAACAACCAACATTCATGTAAACATTAAACTTTTTGGAGACGACTGCATAATATACAAACAGATCAAAAGCTGCAGTGACCGAATTGAATTGAATGATGCCCTAAATAATGTTGTACGATGGGGTTCGAACTGGCAAATGGTGATTAATTCTGACAAAACAGTCGCAATCCAAGTCACAAAAAAGAAATCGCGCTTACCCTTCCATTATGGTTACAACAACATCGTGCTACAAAAGGTAAGCCAGTATAAATACTTTGGTATGATTATAACTTCCGATCTCAGTTGGACAGGGCACATATAAACCGTAGCTAATAGGGCCTTAAAGAGATTGTTTTTCCTTGAGCGGACGCTGTGACACGCCGACCGTGACACTAAGCATCTAGTATACGTCACACTTGTCAGACCGATCTTAAAGTATGCCAGCATAATCTGCTTCCCCTTCACGGGCAGCGGTATCAGCACGCTTGAAAACGTACAGCGTAAAGCGATTAGATTTATTTTCAACCGATATCGTCGCCTCAACTCCCCAACTGAATCACTACGCCACGCTGGTTTGCCCACACTTGAATGTCGAGCAAAAATTCATCGTCTGAAGTTTCTATAGCAGTTATTAAACAATTATTTTCAGATAGACCGCACAAAATACGTGAAAACCAAGGAGACAAGAGAAACACGTCACACACATGATCACACACTCCAAGAATACTCGTGCAACAACAACAACACATTCTATTATTCTTTTTTCTTAGATGCATTCGAGAATGGATTGTCCTTGACTGACTTGTAGCTGAACAGCGTACAGTTGATGACTTTATAGAAATGTTGCAAAATACACAAAGCATTTGATAATAAGCCTGATAACATAGTATGCACTGTATTTTCATTTTACGATTGCCCCCTTGTATTGGATTGATTGCCAATGTTTGTATTTACACCAACTGTTACAAGGGTGCTAACTTTTATCCACCCATTTTTAGGATTGTATAAAAATTAATAATGAATCTGCTGTCATCTTATTTTTGCATGTAGTTTCCTTCTTCTTAACTTGTACTTGTTCATCAACGCTGCTCCGACCTAATTATATTGTATTGTTACTTTTCATGTGGCTGCTTTTTGTGCTTTTCTTTTTGCTCCCACTCCTGCAAAAACCCTCCAAAGGGTTAACAGTATGTTGAAATTAAAAAAAATAAATATGTGAAAAAGTCATTTTCTATTTAGTGTCCCTTTAATATAGCTCATTAGTAAAATTATAACTGTGCTAAAAACGAAACACCAGAATGAAGCGGACAGGATGATTGCAGAGTAACAGCTGGTTTATTGGAAAAGTACACCATCCTTTTGGAATTAAAACTAAACGCATGCGCAATGACAAACATGACCGCGTGACAAGTTCCAAGACTCCTATCTACTAACAATGAAATCGCGCTCTTTGCTAAAAAATACAGGGATGAGTCGCTGACGCACTCATCAGGCCCGTGTCTGGTTATCCAAAATGCCTCCAAGATCTCCCTTGCTCTTCTACTATCTTCAGCAGTACCAAAGTGTTAGGGCGAGCCAAGAGTCAAAGAGCTAGAGCGATCTTGGAGGCATCTTGGATAGCCAGACACGGTCCTGATAAGTGCGTCAGCGACGCATCCATGTATCTTTCAAGCAGAGAACGCGATTTTATTTTTAGTAGGTAGGAGTCTTGGAACTTGTCACGTGGTCATGTTTGTCATTGCGCATGCGTTTCAAGAAGGGTGGTGTACTTTTCCAATAAACCAGTTGTTAGTCTGCAAATGTCCTGTCCACTTCATTCTCGTATCTCGTTTTTAGCACAGTTATAATTTTCCTAAATGTCTTACCAATTAGCCCCTCATCGAACGTTCCTTGACTTTAAGATAGCGTCACATGTCCTATTTTTCCGGTGTATCTTGACTCGCAGGTCACTGACGGCTGTGCTGCTTTGAATGTAAGGTACGAATAGATGAGGTCACGACATGTCAAGTCGTAAATGAAAAGCTTTTTTTTCCCATCTGTTGATCTTTAGAAAAAGTATCACTTGCATGCTGCTGGGAAGCTCTGTTCAGCCATTTAAAAGGCGTGACTGCCATGACGCATCCATGAACTTTGTTGCAGGGAAAAACACCACAAATGTTCTGTGTAGCCGTTAACCATGGCGGGCAATGTATCCTGGGGAATTTTTCTCCATGCTTGCTTCAGTAATATCAAGGCCACAATGTTGGTGTGGTGATGGACACGGGCTTTGTTTTCCAAAATGGCCTATACGTGCTTGGTTTAAGTGAGAAGGATTTGCTGGTTACTTTTCAACCTAATTTAAGTCAATCATGTTAGTGTGAAACAACATGCATGGCTGCTCAATTTATGTGCCAGAGCACTGTTCTGCTAAAAGTCCAAGACTGCTTATCGGACTGGGACTGGAAGCAGGGTTTACAAATGAAGCACTACTATTCCTTTTAAGGTGTGTGGGGATGTTTATCTTTGTACGTTTTAACACTAATACAAGCAGGAGCAGCACAGCCTGTGGTCCTTAACCCAGAACACAATGCAAGAGCACTTGAGTGTTTTGCTGCTTGCCACGGCTGGTCTATCATAACTCCATAGCTGTGCTCTTGCTTGGGCCCTCATTGTTATGCTGCCATATTCATGCTTCTACTATTCATGTAGCCTCTGAAAACATTCAGTTATAGTCTAATGTTTGATGACCACGTATTTAGAATTTGAACTTGTTGAGGGTCAAGTGTAAAAGCCATAAATGAGCAAACCCAGTCATGACTCACCTCACTCAGACTTGGATTGAGCTTTGAGTCTGAGTGAGTCCGCATGAGTAATATTTTGGTGAGTGTATGACACGAGGGATTCAGATTGAGAAAAATTCTGGCAAGTCTGAGTACTAATGAGCCCCAAGGGCAATATGTATTTTTTGAGTGAAACTGAGTGAGCTCATTTTTTTCTGATCTGTGGTCCTGTCTACTAAACTTCAACATTGCTGTCAGTTTGTGTCGGCTGACATTAATCCTCAGTCTACTTACATGTGTTTCCATGTACTAATGTCATACACCAGCTCAATATTCATTGATCAGAGGCATAAGTTACAAAGGCACAGGGGAGGGAGGTGCCTTGACCTCTGCACATGAGCTCTTTCACTCGAAGTTCTTTATAAAATCTTATGTGAGTCATTTATTTCAAAATAAAAGTGTTCTTACTGGATTGGAATCACTGGTAACTCTGATATTACTGTATATTATCAAGAGGTGCCAAGTAGAGAACTGATTATGTGAGATATTGGTATTAAAGAGCATTGAAACTATGGTTGAAAATATGATTATATGCTAATGGACTTGTGACTTGGCTCACTCGCATTGAGCTGCGAGTCTGAGTCTGAGAGAGTAACAATTCAATGAGTTTGAGTCCAAGTCAGCCCTGTTGAAAAAAAAATTTAGCAGCTCTGAATTTGAGCGAGACCGGTTGAGAAATGTTTTGGGAAATTTGAGTGCAAGTCAGCCTGAAGAGCAAAGTATATTTTATTAGTGTGAGTGTGCTCAGCTTATTTGCCGACTTATTATAAAAGCACTAGTAAGCAAGGTTTGATTACTGCAGAACGTGTTATCACTTGTAGCATAGATGCCTCTAAGCAAAAAAAAAAAAAAACTTCACATGCAGCTGTTCAAAAATGTTTTTTTTTTTTTCCCTGGAATTTCTCAGTTTTCAAGGCATTATCATTTGAGGAAGTCAATTTTTTTGAAAAAGCATATTGAACTGAGTGATATGTAGATGTTTGGGAAAACTGTGATTAGCAGTGCATCGTGTGGATAGAAGCAGCTTTGGGTAGTTGTTTAAGAGCAGAAACAGGACTTGTTGACACACTAACAGAACTCATTAGATACATAAATCAGAAATTGATAATAGTATACCACTCATTGAGCTGAAGCATATCCTTCTTGAACTTTGTTATAGTTCCAAATTTCTTTCTCTGCAGTCTTCTTGGTGCAGAGAAAGCATATTTGTTTAGGAAGGTGTCACGTACAGCTTGGACCACCTTCCCACACTTTCATTGTATAGCATGCTATAGCTCACCTTTGCAAAGCCACTTCTAGTACACATATGATATGGATTACCTTTTTCACTAGCAAAGAACATTTCTTTGCCATTTGTCCACATCAACTTGCCGTTGTAGTAAGATGGAGGCATAAAGTTACAGTGCCTTCATAACTAAGCAGATATTTGGTCCCATGAAAATTCTTAGTGGTGGCAGAGTAAGGCAGATTGAAAACTTTGGTTGACACTCCTACATTGTGAGTCTGAAGCACTTCTTAAAGGGACACTAAAGTATAATAACAATTTACGTGAGAGTGAAAGCTCAGTGTATGATGTCTAAAACGACAATGTTATCAACAGCAGCGCCGTACTTACCGAGAAATTAAAGTAAGTGCACGAAAACTTATGTGCTATAGTAGGACATTCGCAAAATGATCCTGATGACATCAGGCTTCCTGTCTACAATTAATCACTACTAATCGAACTAGCTGCACTAAATAAAGAACCTTCTGTGCATGAAGAGCTGTAATGAAATGCTGCTTGTTGTTTCCATTTGATTCATAGAAAAAAAAACTGCCAGACGTTACTAGGGTAAGTAGCGCGAGTGGCTCAAAAGTTCAATTTTCGCCTGGTTAAACTGGACAGGTCGTGCCACCTAGCGAGGCCCAGTTGAACCAAGCAAGTCTTCCATCACAGAGGCCATGGCAGGAAATTTTGCTATGGCCGTTGTTGCTGCAGTGGCTCCCGCTACTTTCATTCTGCTGCTACTGGTGTTGGCTGCCGTGCAGTAAAGCCAATGTTGTCGGCAAGGTTGTGCACGGCAACAGTCACGTGAGACGTTCTGCTTAGGGCGGGTAATTTGAAGTACGCTAACCCGATGCGGACCACTAAAACATGATTTTATTTCAAAATACGCACTTCCATTAACGTCGACTTAATAGTTGTCTTTAGTGTCCCTTTAAAAACGACAGTCAAAACTATACAAGATGAGCAGTTAATGCTTTGACTAGTGTCACATGATTTTGAGTTGGTGCATTTTGGCTACATGTTTATCATTGCTAGTAGTGCAGTGTTACAAGGCCACTACTGCCCACCAGGGCCACATTTGTTATGTGGTTGTGGAGACTACCACCCAACTTATTGAGCAAGCAACTGAAGCAATAATATATCAAGAAGGAGTCCCTGTAAGTTTATCTATGTATGGGTGCTCTTACTTTGCGGCCTATATCATTGGTTCTGCACCATTCTCACCTTTAATTAGGCATGCTGCACCCATGAGATGATGGTGAACTATGAAATGATTTGAGTTCTTCAGGAGCTGAACAGTAGCACTCTCTCACACGTGTTGCAATATGTGCTTTATGTCAGAGCCAACTTTCATTGAGAGCAGCTTGTAAAGTTACTAATTCTTTTTTTCAAATGGCATGCAGGAATGGCCCACTGCAGGGGCATAGTTGCTTATTTTACTACTGTGCTTGAGATTGCTTGTTTGATACTCTGCCACTACACCCACGTTCTTGAAAAATGGGATTCAAAAGTGTTTCTGTGCTATGGTTGGGATGTATGTTGAAGAACACCACTGGGTCAGAACTCATCTGTAGCACCTCCTCTACAGTATCACTCATAGCATGTGTGTTGCATCAAATTTGGCACCTATTACCGTATTGGCAATCCGGTAAAAGTCACCATCACCAAATAACATACTATAAAAATGGCCCCGCAAGCATGTCTTTGTTTAAACTGTGCGGAGTCCTGTTGGCTTCGTGTAACTGAAGCTCTCTTAGAATTTCCTCGGTACAGTGGGAATTCAAAAAAGGCGAGCACTAGTGATGGGTTATGGTAGCAGTGCAATTTTGATACAAGGCTCTGTTGTGTCCAAAATGGTCCCAAATCTTTTGGATTACCATGAAGAGGTCTTGCAAAATTTCTCTAACGTCAGAAAATGCTGTCATTTTATACTCGGATATCCTGTGCTTATGTGGGCAAAATATTATTACACTGCGAGCATCATGAAATAGCACCTACCAAAAATTGCTTTGTCTCTTCTTGACAATGTAGTCATAAGTATGCAGCAAGGAGAAGCAAGCAAAGGTTGTCAGCAACTTTTTTATAATAGCATTATGTGACTGAATTTTTATTATCATTTCATATCATGTTCATGAGAAGCAAGGTACGTAATTTTTCTCCAATCTCCAGCTGTCTGGGAAACTGTTGGGGGGTTGCACGACTGTCACATGCAAACAGCGAAGGCTGAAGCTAATAGGGAGCTCTGCGAATGACTGGCACTGAGTTCAAACGAACTAATGCACCTGGCTTGAGTGGCCTTGCCAAGCTGCTGTTTTAAGAAGCACTGTCTTCATGTCTGGCCAGTCTCAGTAAATCAGGACTGCAACAGCTGCCTCAATAGGCTGCCTCCACAAATCAGGGACACTGAATGACCGAGCTCAGCTATGATGCCGTTATCACAGTGCCTTTATTGCAGAGCACCTTCAGAAGTATTGTACTCGTTCTAGTTCTACAGGAACAACCACACCATCTCGCTTATTCGAGTCTAGAGTAACTTGAATGAATAGTCACAGGCTGCCTTCTCTGCAACTTCCACCAGGCCTGGGCATCTATGACAACTTCCAGAAGGCTACAGTGTCATATGGTTGATTCCCTTGCCAGCACCACAGCATAAACATGATTTTAGTAGTAAACATGATTTGGTAGTAAACTAGAGTATGCCTCTCCTATTTGGAATCCACACCTATCTTATTTAATAGATGCCCTTGAAGTCATTCAAAATCGCGCGGCTTGTTTTATAACCTCCGAATACAATTTCCGCACAAGTGTTACTACTATAAAATCATCACTGTCTCTCACATCTCTGGATCTTAGACGAAAAATAGCACGCATTTGTTTATTTCACAAACTGTATTTCAATTATTCTTACTTACATGGCTCCCTGCTTCTCCCACCAATTCGAACTTCGCACCATCTCTTCAATTCTTTGAGTGTCCAAAATTTAAAAGGTTCAACCAATGCTTTTAACAAATCTTTCCTCCCGTTAACAATGAAGGATTGGAATCGGCTTCCAGATGCAATAGCCAACGAACGAAATACTGTCAAGTTTGAAACCTTACTAGAAACTCATTTTACAACCGCACAGTCGTAATTTCTGTGTAGACAGCTGCCTTTCTCTCATTTTTTTTATAATCATGCTATTAGCTGTATAACGATTTCTGTTTTTATTATTGCACTGTAATTCCTATTCTTGAATTTTCACCTACTTTATGTTCTCGGTCTGGAATTGCCCTCGTGTGTCCTTGTTCAACCCCCCCCCCCCCCCTTATGTAATACCCCGTCAGGGGCCCTTAAGGGAAAATAAATGATGATGAATGATCATAAAGCACGAAAACCCCTCAAGCTTGTTCCTCTGTAACTGCTGTTTACTGATTTGTCAACTTTAAACCTGCATCCCTGACTTCCACAATGCCAAGACTACCTGCGTTGTCTCGACTTCTCTCTGATGATTTACTTCTTGCACAACCATTCCTCAGTACAAACTACGTAGGTTTTTTGCTATGGCATGAACACAGCCTTCTGTAACTGCTTGCCAAGCCTTTTTAGCGCTCATTCTGTACAGCGGGTGGTCTGAGCAACGTGCACCATCGTCCTTGTGATATTCTGGGCAAGCCTTTTTAGTGCTCGTTCTGTGCAGCAGGTGGTCTGAGCGATGTCTACCATAATCGTTGTGATATTCTGGAAAGGCTATATTCCCATCAGACTTGTTGCTCACATTTCTCAATTGAACTTGTTTCGGCCATTTTTATCTACTGGTGGCCAAAGAAAGCATGAGACATTGAGCCTTGGACGAATTGAACCTCCTGCTTATTTAATGTCTTCATTTAACTTCATCGTGCTGCACATTCCGGCGGAGAATCACAAGGCACTGTTGCGTTCGACAAGTCGAGTCGTTCAACGTACTTGTGGTAACTACGTCAAATGTAAAATTCTTATTTGCTGGAAATTATTACAATCAATAATGGATTAACTATTTGCTTTAAGGATGGCATTTGATTTTTTATGCAAAATACAATTTTGCTGGATTTAGAATTAATAGATGTTTAATTGTGTTGCAATTATGGTAACCACTAAAAAAAAGTGCACATCAATTTATTACCACCTTGTCTTTGGTGAAGTAGAATTTGAGTGCCCTGGAATAAAGTTGGGCTCGTGTGATGTCTTTTTGGCAGTCGGTCAAGTCACTTGTCATATTTGTGCCTTAAGGGGATATATCAGTCACAGTGACACATATATATAATAATCTGTGCTATTTCTATCCTCTGATTTGTCTTTAAGTCCTGCAATGCAATTTTTTCCGTTTCAATCAGCATGGTTTTTGTCCCGGCCATTCTTGTGAAAACCAACTAGCCCTTTTCTTGCATAAAATTCATTCTCACCTTGATAATATCCCCATTTATGCTACATTTCTTGATTGCGAAAAAGCATTTTATAAGGTTTCCGATCATCACTTACTGCTTAAACTTTCGTGCCTGAACTTAGAATCCTCCGTGGTGAATTAGATTCGCGAATTTCTAACCCATCACCGGCAGTCTATTGTTATTAACTCCTGCAAATCTCCCCTTTCTCCTCTTCTCTCTGGCGTTCCGCTATGTACTGTACTAGGTCTCCTCCTCTTTTCAATTTACATTAACGACTTGCCACGTAACATCACCTCTAATATTAGACTATTCGCTAATGATTGCGTGTTGTATCACCTTGTAAATAATGTCTCTCATTCTTCCGTTTTACAGTCAGATCTCAACACTATACAGGAATGGTGTGAGGATTGGTTAATGTCCCTAAATATTGAGACGTAGGGTGGTACTTTACACGCCTTTATTAGGCCTGGAAGACGTGGCCAAAAAACAGTCATCTTCGAGGTGACTAACGATATCCACTAACGATGAAGATGAGGAACACTATGTGATAATGGTTATGTACAGGTAATGAATGAGGGTGTTGTAAATGACCGCAATATTAACAAAACTTTCCTAATGACTTTTAATCTAAGTAAAGACCACATCGCTAACACTTACACTCTACACAACTACCCCGTAGCTGCTACCAACACTACCAAATACTTAAGTGTTCATATCTCATCTGATCTAACATAGAGAATACACATCATTAGTATCACTAACTCAGCTAATCGAGTTCTTAAATACCTTCGTCGCAACCTTGCCTCGGCACCTGCTGCTACTAAACTAATCACTTATAAAACACTCGTCAGGCCTAAACTAGAGTATGCTTATGCAATTTTTGATCTTCATCAAGCTAACCTTTCTACTATGCTCGAATCCATCCAGATTCCTGCTTCCTGATTCATTATCTCGAATTACTTAACATAAGTGTGTCAACAGTCAAATCTCATCTTAATCTTCCTCATCTTGCCTCTCGCCATAAACTTCCACGCTTACGCCTGTATCATAAGTTCTTTCATTCTTTGCCACCAGGCAATGCATTCATCAGACCTGCACATCGGACATCGTGCCATTCTCATCCCAAAGCAGTATATTCCAGCCGCCCAAAATCAAAGACCTTCCAGAAGGCGTTTTTCCTTCAGACAGCGCAAGACTGGAACGATCTTCCCGCCCACATCGCCATGTCATCTCAGTTTTCTCAATTTAAAACCACCATAAACAGCCATATTTTATCTTTGTAAATATGATCTACTGCTATTTTTTGTTATTGTTAGTACTGCCTTGCTTTCTTTGTTGTTTCATTTTTTTTCGCTCACTCCTTACGTAATGTCCCTTGGTACTCTTTAGGTACTAATAAACGCAACATAAATGCTGAAGGCCATAATGGTGGTTATGTGCAGTCCTTCAAACATTCTCGATGGCTAGGCTGAGTACACTAATCTGAGGCTTGGATCACCAAGATCTGTTGTGCAGCCCTCAGTCGAGTCATCCTGCTCTGACTTGAAATTTATTGTGGTCTTGCCATCATCAAAGGCCATTAAGCAACACTCTTCACATTGTCAGTGACACTTAAGGCCTCAAATACCTTTCCTATTTGGCACACAGCAGGTTTCAGCCAGTGCACCTCTCTTCCACTGACACTCCCATCGTACTTATCATGGAGACATCTGCATAACAAAATACTTTCAGTGTGCAACATGTCCCTGGCCATGTACAGCAGCAGCATCGCTCCGTGTAAGGCTACTTCCTCGAACAGGAAAGCAGTTTACATTCACATCAGGGTGCTTTCACCGATGGGATTATGAAATGGTTGTATGCCCTCTTTGAATATGAATTCAGCTTGCATCGTTTACTTCCTGCCCACAATGAGGTCTTGATTCCCCAAGCTATACCATCCATTCACCACTCTAAGCCTCAACCACCAGGGAACTGTTTGTCCCATTTTGCCAAACATATACAGGCGTGAGCAAAAGTGTGCAAACCATGGGGTCATGTGGCAAAATGCATCGGCACGCTATCTACTGACGTGACACCTGATGCTGTGTGCATGCCCGTTGTTCTTCTTCCTAACAGAATGAATAAGTAAATATCTAGATAAAATTATCTAATCTTTTCTATTGTTCTGTAGGCTCATGCGAATGGTGACTTTTTTTGTGTGTGTGTCATTCTCCTCTAGTGCAGCAACAAGGTGCTATGAATGTAATGCTTCTGCTTGCTCTCTGTATGCCATCGCTGTTATATTCATGGTGACTATTTTTTCTGAGTGGTAGTGTTTGCCCTGAAGGCTGCATCACACGAAATAGCTGTCTATGTCTATAAATAGTTGGCCAGTTTCTGTCTTAGTTCTCTCCTTTGAAACACCAATGTTGTGTGCAAGGTTACACTTTTGCATCGAATAAGCGATTCAGCTAAAATCACATCTCCCAAGAATGAGCTTGAATCGTTATGAGGGCTCTTTGCTGAGAATATTGTGTTCTTGACATAAAAGGTGGGCAACACTAGATGAGAGCCTGCTACGGTGGCCCAGTGGTTACATTGCTCGACTGCTGACCCCAGAAAGTGCGGCTTCAATCTTAGCCACAGTAGTTCCATTTTAGCAGAGATGAAATGCTAGGGGCTCCATTCTTGTGCGATATCAATGCATGTTTAAGAACCCAAGCTGGTTGAAATAATCTGGTGCTCTTCATTCCTGCATATCTCTGTCAACCTGAACCCCAGGTGGTCAAAATTTCCGGAGCCCTCCACTACGGCGTCTCTCATAATCATATGGTGGTTCTGGGACGTTAAACCACACATATCAATCAAAGCGATCTCTCGACCCGAGTCGCCTTGGAACGTTAGACCCCATACACCAACCAACACTGGATGAGAAAAAATGTAAAGAAAAACTCATAAGCTTTTATAATGCATCTCATCTGAATGTTTTATTATGAACTGCTGAAAAACATTAATTGCTTGTAGCACAGATTGCTAAAAATTTTGGTTCTTCGTTCATTTTCTTTGCTGCTTGAAATGCTTTAAGGTGTGTGTATATATACGATATAGCATAGGTCGACACAGACAAGGCACTTAAAGAAGCAGAATATTTATGCTGTGTAAGAGTAGTGATGTCGTTTACAAAATGTAACATTTATTTGACATGACCATTTTTTTATGACAATGTCGATTTCTCTTCTGCTGCTGGAACCACATGCTGTTATCCCAGTAATGTAGTATTAAAGAAATCTTTATTTGGATGTAGTGAATTTGAAGGAGTACATGTACACTTAACAAGAACTATTTTCACAGCAGTAACAAGTTTTTTTCTGCCTTCAGGTACACCATCTTCAAGGACCATGTCACGCTGAGAGACTGTATCCTTAACAGCGTATAGAAATAGTTGCTTTGCATGACGTTTTAAAATACATATTGCAGACTGTGGGAATGTAATCCACCAGGAGGTGAGAATTACTCAACTTGTGTCCGCTGTCAGTGTAGCTGGGCTAGTTGATAATTTATTTTTATAAGTTGCCTTAAAAATGCTGCAGAGCGCACTTAGTTTAGATTCCACACCCTTTATGTACTGTGAATGTTGTGATTTTATTCCCCATCGGTGAGGAGTTGTAATTTTCTGTTTGTGTCATAATCACTGCACTTCAATTAAGAACTGTAAAATAATTTTTTTTAAGCTTTTTTGGCTTTATTATTTGTTGGCTTTATTAGGATGTGTAAAAAAAAAAGAGGCTTGTCGATCCATTCCTCTTCTTGCCTCATTACATACTTAGGGTCTTACTCCGGCAAATTTGATGTGTTTAGGTAGCATGCTAGTTTGTAAAGATCATGGGCTTTATTATGCCGACAGGCCAGAAGAATCATTCACAGCAGTTGCCATTGCATTGTGTGGTGCTGGCTAACACTCCCCGCATAAGAAATACAGGAATACCCAGTAAAGAGGACACGGAAAAACGAAATCGGTCCACCACAGCGCAGCAGTGGTTGCGGTGCTTAGATGCCGATTTGAAGGTCGTGAATTTGATCTCAGCCATGATGGTTGCATTTCAGTGGAGGCAGAATGCTAGAGACCCGTGTACTGTGTGATGCCAGTGCACATTAAAGAACACCAGATGGTCAAAACTGCCGGAGCTCTTCTCTACGGCATCTGTCATAATAATATTGTGATTTTAATGTGTGAGACCTCATCTTGGCCTAATTGGTGGAGCATCGCATGTGTAATGAGGAGTCTGTAGTTTGGTCCAAACTATCAGTGAGTTTATTGAAAACATATACGAGTGTTTAACATGTGCATGTGCATGCAACTTTATATATCTGTAGTGGCACTTCGTAACATTGCGCACAATGTAAAAATTACAACACAGTCCTCTTCCATCCGCGTGCTTTGCATAACAATGATTCCCATGGAATGTGGTATTCGCTGAATTTTTTTCACACACTTTAATTCGTCCTGATTTCGTCTTGACTTTAATTAGTCTGAAGTCATGATTACTGCATTACGTTATCAATGTGGATATGTTACTTTACCAAGTTAAAGTGTTGCGATACATAACCCAAAGGGATCAATGAGAGCACACAGTTTTAGCCGGCGAAGTGACCATGGAATGGATTAACTAAAGGAGCTTATTGCCTCACATCACCACCGCAAAACGTTTCAGAATCTGTCCAGTATGTACGGAGTTGCAAAGACTTGTCACACGATGCACTTGCATTCTCTCTTCTCTCGTTCCGACGAAAGCGCTAGAAGTTAAGCAGGGAGAGATAGCACGGGACAAAAAAAAAAACATCACACTGGACTCGTGACCTTGAGCATTTTTTTTCTTTTTCTTCCTTTGAATGCGCGGCTTTTCAGTGTGATTGCGCAAGCACACATGAATAAAGCAGGGCCTGCCGTGGCGGCCTTACCGTAAAATACCGATCAAGCGCCCCCCTTCAATGCGAGGATAATCTGGTAATGTTAGGCAGAAGGCTCTTGCTTGGAACTGCCCTGAAATTAAATATGGCGGCAGAACACGCCCCCCCCCCCCCTTCCACATGAAGGAAATGCAACGCATTGAAACCAAAAAGCTTTACCAGCTGCATTCATTCTCATTTAATCACTCTCAAAACCGTCGAATGATTCTTCAGAGTCAGAGCCGAAAGCTAAGTCTAGGCATTCGTATTGTAAGTCCTCGGAACGCTCAGGTGCCACAACGCCGATGTCAAACAGGCAATCATGCAGCTCGCCATCCTCGGAGCCGTCAAGTGCATTGAAAATTCCGTACCCCTTGAACGAGCGCACGACAGTCACAGTGGCACAAGCCTCCGACACAAAGTTGAGGTCATCCTGACACGATGGCTTTTGCAGATTGCCTTTCAGTGTTCTTTCTTCTTTCCTCATAAACATCTCCCAAGAACGCCGAAGGTTCGCCTTGAATGGCCTGTTCCAAAAGACGTCAGCTAGCTGCAGTAGGCTTGTGCAGCCCGCAGGCACATACACGTCTGTGTCTCGTTCCGCTATTGCGTCTTTTGCTGCCTGAGTCTTGTGGATAGGTGCCTGATCCAGCACAAGTAGCTGCCGCACATCATCCTTGTTCGGCCCCCACACCCTTGCCAGCCACTCCTGCAGTTTATCCGATGTCATCCAACTATTTTTCGATGCCGTGACGCGAAGATTGGCTACAAAAAATGGCCCCGAATCTGCATGTTACACTGCAAATGTTGTCGAAAGACGATAGTCTTATGTCTGGAGAGAGTGAACAAAATCTTTATTTGATGTTCTGCGCAAGAAAATCAGTGAATGGTATTCTGGAGGCGCTGCGTTAGAGTGCCTCGAGCGTGTAGTGGAGGCGAACGAGTGCATCGAGGCACGTTAGACACGAGCCCTATCTGGCAGTAATCTTCGAAAATGAAGCCGTGCGCGCCCGCGGAGGAAGATGCGTGTCTGTCTCGGAGGTGATAAGGTGTAGAACTCAAAGCGGCGTGCAGGTGCCAGCACCGTGTCATCTTAGGGAAGCGTTGGAAACACCTACCTTTCTGAGCATTGCGTTGCACTGTCAGTGCAGCATGATAAACGCTACAGTCCTTAGAGTTACTTGTGTGTGCCTTCTTTAGTATAAAGGCACTCATACAAAACATCGACGTGTTGTTATGGTGCCTCAGATATGCGCAATAATAGCTTTTTAATTGACAATCGCACAAGTATGAGCGCTAAATATTGAGCAATATTGGTGGGCGCTGCGGATGGGGTTGGCGGTTTGATGCCGTTTGAGGTATCGGTAAGGGTGGACAAACAGACTAATAGATAGACAGACAGACCAAAATTTTTTCGCCCAAGGTCGCCAAGAAAGACTATGGTCTTTAAAAAAAAAAAAGTCCAGTCCAACGGAGGTCGCTGTAATCGAGCACATTTTTTAATTGTTACTTTCCCCCTTGAAAACAAAAAGAAAATACTCCCAATGCTCGAACTTCATCAATCACCTGGTATACGAAGGCTCATGACCGCTTTGGTTGGTATCTTTCCACTTGGTTCCTTAAAAAGGATACAGGCTCGTGGTTTGTGGTCGCTTGCGCATGCTGCCAATGCAACCGCGAAGCCCCTGTGGGTGCAACCAGTATTGGCAGTGTGCACGGTGCTCGCCCCAACCACGTTCATCCTTCTCACCGTCGAGTCCATTCGGACCATCGTCTGGTCCATATTACAAATTTTGTATGGTGTGTAGTTGTGGCGTGTTCACAGGCTATTCACAGCGAAGTGAAATGTCTTTGTTGCCTCCGAGAAATCGTCAGGAGTCTTCTGGCTCTCGTCAATCGGCGCTTTGTCACGCCAAACCGCTGCTTCCACCTTTTGACGTACTGGCTCGACGTAGCAAAATGTCTTAGCTGCAAGCTGTGGGCTATTTCACAGCTTCTTCTGAGAGAAGCCTGTTACTAACAGCACGTCCAGCGCTCCTTTCTCGCTCGAGGAACTCAAAAAGAGCGTCGTCTACTTCCTCACTGATCACTGGCGCTCCGTTGCTCAACTTACGCCGAAGCTTGGCCATGCCAAAGTTTTGTTGCAGTAAGCTCTCGAACTTCTTGTCCCACTCACAGACTGTCTTTCTGTCAATAGTGAAGTGGCGAGCTGTCGCGTGCACATTTCTTCCGGCCTGGCGATGCGATTGTACGACTTAACTTTTTTTTTTAACTGTATAGAAATGCATGTCCAAAGTCGCTGCTGTCATATTCGGAACCTACAAATGACAATAACAAATTGGCAGGCATCATGCCAATGCCAGGGAAAGTGGTCACTGTGGTCACACGACCAATTTTTAGATTGGATTTTGAATTAGGCAAGAGCGTAGCTGTTGGCGCGGTTTCACTTTCGGCAGTTCGGGATGAGTTGGCAGGGAGTGGCGGGTTGATGGGGAGGGGGGGCGCTTGCTAGGTAGAGATCGAAAATAGGAACTTTTCATGGTAAATGAGGGGGGCACTTACATGGGTGGGGGCATTTGATCGGTATTTTATGGTAGTAACTACCAGGGGGGGAGGGGGGGGTGCACCATGCTCAAAGCAGCCAATGAATGGCTGACACTAGCAGTTTGCTACGTGGCTGACACATAGCAATGTTTCAACCTGTAGCATCATTTGTCGAGAGAAGAAAAAGTGATTTGTAGCTGATTTTAAGAATTAATTGTATATTGCGGCCTGCGTGCTGTGCTAATATTTGCCACGCATGTTCCCGAGAGCTTCAACTACCGATTGGCAGCGTTTTTTTGCCATGCTCAAAAAGTGTTGCGGGCCTCTTTAAAGGACCCCTGACACCAAATTTCGAAACTCGACATGCTTGTGTTGCTTGAAAGTCCTGAATACGGGGTCATCTCTGACCGATTATTAGTGGGGCACGTAGCATACAAGGTATTTTAATTTGGGTTTGAAGGAAGGGTGCATGTTCTTCCGAGTATTCAGGTGCAGTCAGCATTTTCTGTGGTTTGATGTAGACCGGTACTCCCCTTGTGACGTTGCAGGGTCAGCATTTGTGGGGTGCGCACAATACCCCAACAGGAACCCGGCGAGGACTAGTGTTCGTCAACGCTGTCGCGTTGTTGTCGGGCTGCTGTCAAGGTGGCTTTGGCTGCTTATGCCAGGAATGCTTTTCTTTTTTCTGAAGGGGACACGCTCAAAACACCCACATTGTTTCATTCTTCACCCCACGCGGGTCCCCCTATTTAAAACAGTCTCAGGCGCTGCTCCACTGTGGGGCGCTAGTTTCTTACTGTATTTAGGCAGGTGTTTCAAACACATGTTCTGAAATCGTTCTGAATTAATGCCATTTATATTAATTATACGATGTGTTAATTATACAAGCTTCCACCAAACGAAGTGCGCAGGGAATATGTAGTCGTCATGAGAACAAGAGATAAGCATCGCCTATTCCTTGTTTTCTCAGAGTTATTTCTCTGTCAGCTTTGATGTTTAATGATGGGAGCACAGATGCACGCACCATGTGCGCACACACACATGCACATTTGTGGGTAGTAAGTCCGGTCAGCTCATTAGTACTAACTGTTTGGGAAAACCATTAAAAATTTTTTTACCAGAAATAATTTCGATTGACGATGATGTTTGACCCTAGAAAGTTGCTCCAAAACTAACTTTCATTGCTGCGAACTACTCCTTTTGGTGCTCCAAACCTGCTCCAATACTCCTATTTTACTGCGCCAAAGCTTCTACAAAAACAGCATTATTCGTGCTCCTTGAGCTGCTCGAAAACACTAAAGTCCACTTCCACCCCTACAATTGAAAATAAGCTACCAAGAAGCCTCATCGTATCTCTTGAGAATTGTGTAACCAGGAGTCACATAATATGAATTGCGTTGAGTGCTTCCAAACTATTACAAATAGCTCAGCCCTAATTCTTCATCTTCATCAGCCTCTGCATCAACAGAGCACACATAATGCCTTGCAAAATCATAGCGAGTACCGTTTTCCTCTGCAGAATGACGAATAATGGCGCAGTGGGTGCTTTACAACTTGACAAAAACTACAGCTAATGGTGTAGCGGGTACCTGGCAAGTGTACTTGTATTAATAGCCCCTAGAAAGTTTGCAATGGTTTCAAGAATTGGTGCTCTTTCAGCTTTCATTGTGACAGTGCTGTGCTTTCCACGTAAGCCTTGCGTTTTTTTTAGGAGCGAAGCTTTTTAAGATTGAGGCTTGTTTGTTGGCGTTTCTCATATCCGAGAACATGCAAGATACCCACTACCCTCTATGACATTGACTATGATCACGGACAACAACTGGCTTGTGCAGTATATGACGTCTCGATATGCTCTACGATGCATTTCGTATGACTGGAAACAACCAACAACCACCAGGAGAACGTACACAGACCTCGTCTTTGCCAACTTCAGGCTAGATCCGATACTACAAAACAGTAATAGTTTAGGCGAAACAAAATTCACAACTCAGCACAACATTTCATTTACGACCAATAAACCATGCATATAACTGTACACCATTTTGTCACTCATTTACATGCATGAGGGGTCAATGTCACGTGTGATTTACGCTAGTACCAAACGATCCCATTGCTTCACCCACTCATCATCATTCACTTCATGGATAAATCATGGTGTTTCAACAGTGGGCTCTATTATTGGAGGATTGTCAGCATGCAGTGGCTGCACGCCAATGTGAGCCCTGACGTCTGAGTCGCTGTGGTTCATGCAGGGTGCCCGCTTTCCTGTCCACCTCTGCTTTAAATATCACTTTTCATCATCATCATCAGCCTGACTACATTCACTGCAGGACAAAGGCCTCTCCCATGTTCTGCCAGTCAACTCGGTGCTGTGCTTGCTGCTGCCAATTTATACCCGCAAACTTTTTAATGTCATCTGCCCACCTAACCTTCTGTCTCCTCCTAAGCCGCTTGCCTTCTCTGGGAATCCAGTTAGTTACCCTTAATGACCAGCGGTTGTCCTGTCTACGCGCTACATGCCCGGCCCCTGTCCATTTCCTCTTCTTGATTTCAACTATGATATCCTTAACCCCCATTTGTTCCCCAATCCACTCTGCTCTCTTCTTGTCTCTTAAGGGTACACCTACCATTTTTCTTTCCATTGCTCGCTGTGTCGTCCTCAATTTAAGCTGAACCCTCTTTGTAAGTCTCCAGGTTTCTGCTCCATAGCTAAGTACCGGCAAGGTGCAGCTGTTATATACCTTCCTCTTGAGGGATAGTGGCAATCTACCTGTCATAATTTGAGAGTGCTTGCCAAATGTGCTCCACTCCATTCTTATTCTTCTAGTTACTTCAATCTCGTGGTTCGGCTTCACGGTTATTACCTTCCCTAAGTAGACATAGTCTTTTACAACTTGAAGTGCACTATACCTATCTCGAAGCGCTGCTCTCTTCCGAGATTATTGTTCATTACTTTCGTTTTCTGCAAATTATTTTTAAGACCCACCTTTCTGCTCTGCTTGTCTAACTCCATAATCATGAGTTGCAATTCGTCCCCCGAGTTACTCAGCAATGCAATGTCATCGGCGAAGCGGAGGTTACTAAGGTACTCTCCATTAACTCTTATGCCTAACTTTTCCCATTCTAGGCCTCTGAAAACCTCCTGTAAGCATGTGGTAAATAACATTGGGGAGGTTGTATCCCCCTGCCTTACACTTTTCTTGGTTAGTATTCTGTTGCTTTCTTTATGAAGCAATATGGTAGCAGTTGATCCCCTATAGATTTCTTCCAGAATGTTTATATGTACTTCATCGACGCCCTGATTCCTCAGGGTCTGCATGACTGCTGATATTTCTACTGACTCAAGTGCCTTCTCGTAATCTATGAAGGCTATGTATAGTGGTTGGCTATATTTTGAGCATTTCTCTATTACCTGATTGATAGCATAAATGTGGTCGATTGTTGAGTAGCCTGTTCGAAATCTTGCTTGTTCCTTTGGTTGATTGAATTCTAATGTTTTCATAGCTCTGTTAGCAATTACCTTTGTAAATAGCTTGTATACTACTGAGAGCAAGCTGGTCGGCCTGTAATTCTTCAAGTCCTTGTCATCTCCTTTCTTATGTATTAAGGTGATGTTAGCATTCTTCCAGGACTCTGGCACTATTCCCGTCAGGAGACACCTCGTAAACAGGGTGGCTAGTTTTTATAACACAATTTCTCCTCCATCTTTCAGCAGATCTGATGTTACCTGATCCTTGCCAGGAGCTTTGCCTCTTTGCATGCTCTCCAAAACTTTTCTGACTTCTTCTATCATTACTGGTGGGGTGTCATTTGGGTTTCTGCTAGTTCTTATAGTATTAAGGTCGTGGTTGTCCCGGCTACTGTACAGATCTCTGTAAAACTCCTCCGCTGTCTTAACTATCCTATCCATATTGGTATTTATTTTGCCCTTTTACTATCACTTTTACCCTTCCACAAAGGTGCTGAGGCGTACCCAGCCAGGAGCATTGTTTATAGCTGATGCCATTCGTAATGGTTCTGGGAACCGAATTGGGAGCTGAGCAGGTTGATAGGCATGGGCATTGGCTGGCATAGTTGGCATGCCCCTTACGGGTGCATTAAACGTCACCAAATATCACCTCCCCAAGTTCACGGCATAGCAGCTAAATGGGGCAATTTGTGAAAAACAAATTAAATTCTTCATTTCCCTCTTTATGCTGAAAGTAAAGGTGTTGTCAATTGTTTTCAGCACCCAATCTTTTAATCGCTATGCTGCCTGGAAAAATGATGATATCCAAGCTGTCGGTGCTGACTACGTTTGCCCCAACGAGGAGATAGAACATATACTAAGGAGCTTTGCAGTTGCTAATAGGCCCTATGCTCATGTGGTGAGCCTGTTACGACACTGTGGGATGCTGCTAAACTGACAGGCATTAAGCACATTAAATTTAATTACACATTGAACAAGAAAGTACATGTGCCATATAAGCTGTGCCGCTTAGGCCGACTGTCCATTTGTCGCACTCATTCCTATTGAAGCTTGACATCCTCCGGGAACACTTAAAATTTGAGGCACTATGGCTTTCAGTTGTTGTTGCACCCTGGCATGCAGTACATGAATCGTTGCAGTTCATTCATATAAAGTGACTAACCTCAATATTCTGGAATGTCCCTTCTGTTAACACTTCACCTTGACTTGAGAAAGTTGATGGGAGCACAGTCTCTAGGCAGAGCAAATCACTGCATATCAGCGATAATCTGCAGAGATTCTTGAGAAGCGCAGCGTCATTTTCATTTGAGTGGTGGCACAGTGCTCAACTCGTCAAGGGAAGGACGAAATTTGAGTTGAGAAGCGTTTGTGAATATGGTGTAAATCTCATTGATACAGGCTGTCAATGCAGCAACTACGCAGGTGAATGTACCAAGTCGACCAAGTACTGGCATACAGTGCAGCAGTGACGACATAGTGCGATTCACGATGAGATCGCTCTGTCGGTTCATACCTTGTGATATGTACTTGTAAAGAAAGTTATGTTGTCGAAGCCAGATATATATTGAACTCGCGAAAAAGTGGACATTAGTTCAATATATAGAATAATTCAATATAAAACTAAAAGTATCTTGCATTTTCAGTGTGAGTGTCAGTGTGCTAGTTAGATTCATGGCACTATTTTTCAATAATGTAAGGAAGAGAGGCTTTCACTTCCATACACAGGAATTGCTTTTTAATTTAAATTTTCTCTACGATTTGCAGTTGGTGTGAAGTTATATGCAAACATGGATTATACGCAAGAAAGTATGTAAGCAATGTGAATGGTGCCTAAACTACATCATACACAGCTGTACGTACTTGTTGGGCACCAGATGCCTCTGTTTTGCCTTGATTTTAGTGTCGACCTTGTTTTTAAGTATCATTACCAGAGTGCTTCTTGGGATTCCGTATGCAGCAGCGACATATGGCTTACTTTCCTCGTGTTGAGTGTATACATTATTGACAGTTTTGTATAGAACAATGTGAAATTTCTTTCTTACGGCATTTATTGGTAACAAAAGGAGAAAAGAAGCGAACGCTCCAAGACTGGCCAGCGGGCTCGACGATAAGGAGTCATAGAAGAAAGCATGTGATGGCAAGTGGTAGTTTATATGCGTTCCGTGTGGCACTGTCGTAATGACACTGCTTACCTTCGTGAATGTTTGCGGGAAAGTCCTGTTTTGTGAGGAAAAGTGGGATTCTCGCTACGGAAAGCCAACTATTTCGGGCATTTTTCACAATAAATATATGAAGCGTTATGGCTATATTTGTTTGACATAGCCATAGATTTTCCTTTGCATTGATGGCATTGCCATGTTTGAAAATAGTTTGATACAAAGGACAGTTTAATTTACTCGAGTTAATATACAGTTGAACACGGATATATCGAACTCAAAGGGGATCGGGAATTAGTTTGATATATGAAAAATATGATATAAAAAGATACAGGCCCCGAGAGTTTACCTCTAGCGGACCATCACCTACAATAGGTGCATTCAAAATTGACAACTAATTCCGCACACATGCTGCAATAGAATGATTCATTTGCGTGAAAAAATGGCTTATCTTGGCCTGCATTTTTTTTTTTTTTTTTTGAAGTTGAAGACGCTAGTCTCGATCTTATCAAGGCTGTCCAGGTGCGACAGCCCAGTTCCCTCCATGTCGCCGATGCAACAGTGAATGACGCCGAGCTGGCACCACTTCAGTGGCATAGTACGCACGTGTAGCCAGCGCCTAGTCCGGACAATCCTCGTCGTCACACGACCTGTCGCCCTGGGCATCCTAGGTCCCCACACTTGCAGCTATTATGTCCTCGTCAGCGAGGTTCGCAATGGCCTGGACATTGCAGTCCGCTTTCACAAAATTGTCTGCAGACACTTAGTGTGGAACAGCTGCCTAGAAGAGGGATGACGATTCACGAAATGCGTCGTCTATGCACTCGTCGTCGCCGTCGTCACCAGTTTCCGCAAGTTCCGTCGTCTCGAAGCCTGACTTGCGAGAGCAGTTGATCACTGTGCCCGCCTTGACGTCTCGCCAGGCGTTGAAGATTTCGCGAGAGAAAACTTCACAAAGATTTCTTGCCACTCCGTCATCCACTGCTGGATGTCCTGGCTGCTGACAGCTTCGCTTTCACCAGAAATAGTTTTGCCAACGATGTTGTAGCGCTGCTTAAATTGGTGAAGCCACTTGGTGTTGTCGGCGAAGTTGTTTTCACCGAGTGCAGTGGCAAACCATTTGGCCTTGGCCATCAGAATCGGGTCGTCCACCGGAATGTTCTTCCCGCGCACTTGTAAAAACCAGGCATAGAGTGCCTTTTCTACTTTCCTGTGGGCAGGAGCGCGTACATGACAGGCTCCCGACATTCGCTGCTTCGCCGCCTTTGCCTTGATATCGGCTGTGTTAGTCAACAAGGTACTCAGAGTGCTTCGTGGTATCGTGAAGTCGTCCGCGACGGTTGAACGTTTGTCGCCCGCCTCGACATGCTGAATAGCTTTAAACTTCGTTGCAAAGTCAAGGGTCTTGCACTTCTTGACGCTGGCCATAGCTACACGAGAAGTCGACAATTCAAGCAGTCTGCAGCAGCTTTGCACACCACGCATGCAAAAGAGGAAGGCTGCACGTGCAGTGGTACGTAGGCGATGCTGGTGATGGGACAACGGAAGCAACAAATTGCTCGCGAGGCGATGGCTGCCTGCGTGGGCAACAGCAACAGGCGCGAGCTGTGGTTGGCTGATCAAAACTCGCAAAACAGCAACAAAAAAAGAAAAGAAAAGGCGAAAGAAGGAGGATGTCGGCTTCTTCGTTCCAGATTTCTTCCCCCATGGTTCCTGCTCTCCAAGCCTACGGGTACGCGAAGAAAGCATGAGAGAGAAAAAAAAAAAAGCCGTTCCACAAGTTTGCAGTCCGAGCCCTCTCGCCCTTACCTTTTTTCGAGCATTTCGGGTTTTGGCGGAGGCTTGGTGCCGCGTAAAGGGCGCCAAGAGCTACGAGTACGGAAGCCCACCATCCAGCACGCACATTGTTCGATATATTTGAAGGTGGGTAAAAATACCGTTCAATATAAACATGCAAATTTCTATACTTTTACAAAGGAATTTCAAGGGAATAACTTGTGAGTTGGATATACCCGAAAATTCGATATATGTGGGTTCGATACATCTGTGTTCGACTGTAGTAGTCAGGTTTGACTACATACTTGCAAAGAGACCCTGAAACACCTTTCTTAGTGATCACAAAATTGACCTCACTAATGAATTGTGTTGCTTCGCAAATTTCTTGTCACAGAAGTCTTTCATCAAAAATAAGTTGTAAATCATTACGGTTAGTCAGGGTAATGATAAAATTCTTTCTCTCGTATTTCGACTCTATTAGCACCTTGAGCATGCTGGAAGCAACAGAATGGCAAGGATGGAAGACACTAGCCAAAAATTATGCTATAGTGCCTCACAGTCTTACTTATTCGTGCTTTTTTTTTTCTCTCCATCCCTTTGAACATGGCGGACACAATTCAAATTGAGAAGTGTGTGGTGGCACATTATCGTGACTGGAGTGCAAACTCATTCATGCTCACTGTTTTTTTCATCCATGCTTCTGTATGGAAAAGTAGATACTTTTAAAAACCACATGGAGACCTTTGAATGTTGTTTAGCTGAGTTAGCAAGTTGAATATTTGTGTCGACATATGAAATTTCACGTGAACTCACACTTCCTAAACTGGCACTTGTTCTTTCAGACTAGAGTGAGATTGTCTGTTTGTCCAATTTGTGGCTCAGTTAAATTCATATCGGCTCACTAAGATAGGCCTCTCTACTCGACTCTACCGAGAATATAACCTATGACCACTTGTACTCTGCTCAACAGATTGATTCACAACCCTGGGAATCATCCGAGCCCACTCGTATTAATGTGTCTTCAGAGCGAGTTCATGAAACTGTGACGGTGGACACTTCATGGTTTGTGTAAAAATTTAGGCACAGTTAGAGCAGCAACTTCGGCGTTTCTTTTTTTTATATTCACCGATTTCAATAAAACTTTAAACATGTCTTCGCATTGGTATCATGGTGATATGTGCCAAATTATACAACCATAAGTCATTTAGTTTTTTGGAAAACAAATATTAAAATTTGTAGATGATTTTGGAATCACAGTTGTAAGTGCGGGCAACCCTGTGTATATGACGTCACGCCCTACTCTTTTTACAAAAACCTCGCCTTTCCCAGCAGACGGATGCAGCGCCCGCTTTCTTCAACAAGGTGCCGCCAATGCGAGCACAGTTCGATTTTGTCAGCTCGATCGCCAACTTGCTTTTCGCGCGTCAGAAGATCGAGGCACCTGAGCTATGTTTACACCCTGGCCAGCCGTGGCGGGGTGTAGCGGATCTCGTGACGTCATCGGCGACGGTATCTTGTGACGTCATTGCATACCCACCATGGACGATAAAGCCGCTCCCTGTTTCGGTTTCTGTTGTGATTTATCGTTTTTCACCTAATTAAAATAATTGACGAGTGCCTGAGCAAAATGAACCACCCTAGCTTTTTCAGGACTCTCAATACTAATATAAAACAGCATTATCTCAGTATGGATGAAAATGCACAGGAGTTTCCCTTTAAAGGGGTTGTGAAAAAAAAATAACAAGCTGCCGGGTTGTAATTTTCCCTGCTCAGTAAAGATTAGATGTGCCAATTCTAAAATATTCCAGCACAATATCCAGCTTATAATTAATGACGCCCATTTGCATACCTGCCAACTCTTTTCACTTTGCCGTAAAATGTACGAATATGGGCCGCGCTTAGGATTTTACGAATGTTGCCTGAAATTTTACAACAAATATTTTATTTCCGATAAATCAACATAAAATTAGTAAAATAGCGTGGCCTCTGCCAATGGCTACGGCGCATTGCCATAGCTAGTCGTGGAGGCCATAAAAACGGCGTTGTGCTTTATTCCACCACTAGGTGAGAACAGTATGTATTGGTGTTATCATCATCACATACCTGCCAAGTCTCCTGCATTGTCCGGGTAGAGTGTACTAGAAGTGTTGAATGGCGTGACCGCGCCTCGCCGCCTGATGCTTTCCGCGTTGCCCGTAGTGGCGGCGCTGCAGTCGAATAGTACTGAAAGAGGAGCCGCCTGCCGCGCGCAGGAACTGGTATGCGCTTCGCCTCTTCCAGCGCGCTTTTGTGATGCAGATTTCTTCTTACCTGCCCATCATTTATGTATAACACGTGATGTCATATAACATGCCGATCTACTGAATTTGAGCTCTATAAAAGCCCTCGTGAAAGATCAAAAATTATTTAGAAAGGGTGTGTCTTATTCTGATTTTTTCTGTCTTGACTCTTTCTTCGTTGGTTAGGCATCTATAATATTCAGAATAACTGAACCAATTTATTGGAAGTTAGCTGTGCTCAGAAAGCTGTGAGATGAAAAAACAATACTTTGTCAAACACACAGAAAACCAGAAGGACATATGTAGGGAGGGGAGAGGAAGGGAATCTGAACCCCCATACAACAACATTTTTTCGTAATTTAACTTTTCAGGGTATACTAAAATATTTACACGCATTCAGTGTGACCATCAATTACCAAAGTTAGTCATTCTGCTGCACTCCCCCCCCCCCCCTGCCCTCAAGCCCTCAAAATAAAAAAAAAAATTCCTGGGTAGCCCTGCGCCGAACGTTTACAGTTGGGGAAGCTGCATATAGCGTGTGTCTGAACAAATGCGCACTGTCAATTTAACCTTTTCGACAGTATAAGGTCTCAAAACTAGTTCAAGTCTAACGTAGTCGGACGAGAAATGCACCGCGGAAAAAAAGAGGCTGTTCTAAGGGGTACTACATAGATATTGTTAATGGAGCGGTGACGTGTGACTTAAGTGCGTGTACTTGTAGATATATATGTGTGTGTGTGTGTGTCTGTGTGCGTGTGTGTGCGTACGTGTGTGTGTGTGTGTGTGTGTGTGTGTGTGTGTGTGTGTGTGTGTGTGTGTGTTTACTGTGTACATATACGAGTAGAATTCCTCAAAGAAAATTGCACCACTGCATCTTGCCTACATTTTTGACACTTAATAAAAGATGAACACTTATGATACAAAACGTAGGCATAAATTTGCTGGCTTGCAATGGTGTTACGTCAATAGATTATTTGGAAAGCAGCGCAATTTAAACTGTCGATACAAAATGGGAACTGGTTACAGTGAACTTACGCAGATTGATAGACAGGCTATGTATACAACTGGCACTTTTAATTTAAGATAACCCCTTCTGGGTAGAGTTCAGCACTCGGAGGTACATGCATTTTCAATGGAGGCGATAATGCTGTAGGCCCGTGTGCTCAGATTTGGGTGCACGTTAAAGAACCCCAGGTGGTCGAAATTTCCGGAGCCCTCCACTACGGCATCTCCTATAATCATATGGTGAATTTGGGACATTAAACCCCACATATCGGAGGTACACACCTCCCTTCAGCTCGACTCTTTGGCTCGGCCTCCTGGTGTTATAAGCACTTGGAGCTTTCATAAGAGAAGCAAAGTAAGCCCGAATGCACGCAGTTCACACAAGATAAGCCTTTCAGAAAGCATTAATTATTATTTTCCACAAAACGATAAATCTGAGTCGGCACTGATATAAATGTTGTGACAACGTTACTTTACACTTGGGTTTGTCATGAAACAATCGAGCGCATGTGGACTCATATGAGGAACAGCGCTCTGGATATTGTAGAGACAGCAGAGAAAATGAGCTAATCATTTAATCGCGGTCTTGATATTTCTCCTCTCTTTGTAGTTCACCAGTAGGCACTTATGATGTAGCGCAGGTCAAAACGCCTAAGTGAGAAGCTAGGCGGATCCATGAGAATTCCGATTGTACATGTTTTTTTTTTGTGTGTGTGAGTCGCAGGCCCTTGAAACAGTGAATGTCGCGACGCAATTTCGGCGTGCCTGCATATTCACTCGTGCACTATGGCGCGTAGCAGGTGTGCATACACTGATAAAGGCTCAGAAACGCATCAAACATGCTAAAAACGAGCAGTTACACGCTTTCGCAGGCTACGACGCACGCGCTCTCAATGCAGACGCTTCAGAGATCTTCAGTACCATGTGACTACAGCGCCGCCGCTACTATCACCCGCCTCAGAATCAGCCGAAATGCAGCGCGGCTGCCTCGTTTATTCCACTGCCCTTTTCTAGTACACTGTAGTTTGGGAGACTCCCTGATTTCGACTGTTTCTTCCCTTTGTACAGTCGCCATGAAAATTTCCACGAAATCCAAATTTGTGTGCAAGATCTCGCCCCATTGACAAAAATGCAGGTCAGTTCGTTCCAGGCTTTTTGCAAGCCCACTGCATTTCATTATAAACGAATTTCAGAGGCGTTCATCTAAACGTACAGTAGGATCTCAGTGATGCGAAACCGCGGCAGATACGAATTCGTGAAATTTCTCAGGCAAATTTGTGTTCATTGGGCCGAAATTCGAATGTGCCGAACACTTTTTTCTAATCGCAGTGTGTGATATAAACTTTAGCACCAAAACCGCCGAACGAAGGCCAATCGAGAGCAGTGCACGCTTCGGAAGTATGCTTGCGAACAGCGCACGCACTGTCTTCTACAGTGCGTGTGGTTGTTGTTGCCACAACTGTTGACACGATCATGTATGGTGACGATGTTACTGACAGAACTCCGAAAGTGTGCGTGCATCCACTGCTCGACCAATCAAGCATGGCTGCTTTCCCCAAACTCTGTGGACAAAACTGCGGCAGTTGCAATCATAAATAGCATAAAACGACTTCGTTTTGAAGGCATTTGGATTGAAAACAAAACTACCATTTGCCACAACTTTTGCGCACAAAACCCCAGTTGTGGTGATCCGATAGCGATTGATCTACAAGCTCCGAGGGCACGTGGCTACTGTAGCAGTAGAATAAAGATGGTGAAGACGTAAAAAAGGCTAGAAGCATTTTGGCGTTCTTGTCCAAAGAATCTAGTAGCGAGCAAAGCCAAAGCTTTGATTGATTAATATGTGGGGTTGAACGTTTCAAAACCATCATATGATTATGAGAGACGCTGTAGTGAAGGGCACCGAAAATTTCGACCACCTGGGGTTCTAACGTGCACCCAAATCTGGGCACACGAGCCTCAAAGCCAAAGCTTTGACCTGTTCTTTCGTGGCAGCCAGCTGTGCCGTGCCGTCCGTTCATGTGGGAAAACATCGCGAATTGTTTTGACGAAAATCGATTTTTTTTCCTATTTGTTTTGATGATGTGAAATTTCGGGAGCATTTGCGCTCCCTTTTTGAGACTCTCATTTCAGTGAGAAACCCTACCCTCGTGTGTTCAGCCACTCCAAGCCATTATGAGACCGCAACGTCGATGTTTGCGCTTGCGTCTGGGACCCCCCTCCTGTTTTTCACGATTTTTTCTTGTTTTTTTTGGTGCCAAAATGGGCAAAAATAATTCAGCACATAAATTTGAATTATGGTGGCAAAACATGATTATGCTTGTCGCTAAATGCGAATTCATCACATTTACAAATTGAGAAACTTGGCAACCCCCCCCCCCCCCTTTTCCTCTCGGAGTTTTTACGGATTTCTCTGTTGTCAGGGTGGCAGGTATGCCATTTGAAATTGCAGTTTTCTTGTGCTCCTAAGCGACCATGCGGCACCATCAACTGCCATAGACACTCATGTGTGACTTTATACTAAGAGAAGTTATGAACTCAGCGTTCACTTTCTTTTGCTCTAACGAAGGAAACGTAGGAAGTAAAAAAAGTAATACAGCAATTTCGGCACCCTGAGTTGTATACTTTGCAAGTACAGGAAGTAACCTGCGTGGTTTTACTTTAATGTACATCTGGGCTCCGTCACACATGTATTCTTGCCTTCCTGGCTGCCTTTGCTCGCTCGTTGCAGCATTCCAGTTTTTTGCTTACTAGTTGCATTAGGTTCTGTTTTATGCCATGCTTCGGTTCGCCTAGTCCTCGCTATGCCTATAATGTGCATCGTCAGTTAGTGTTACACAGCTTACCTAAGTAGAAACAAC